CACGACCACTTACCTCTCTCTCGAGCGATCCAGAAGACCTAATGCCATTGACACCAGGACATTTCATCATCGGTAGACCGCGCACTTCCTTGCCAAGCCAGGATTATCAAGATGTGTCAAACGATCGCTTGAATTTTTTCCAGCAAATAGAAAAATTGCAACTTTTTGGTGCAGATGGAGCAAAGGATGTCTCAGAGCTTCAACTGAGGACTAAATGGCGTACTTGTAAAAACGCATTGAAGATGAACCCTCTAGTAGTTCTAAACGAGGACAATCTACCACAGTTAAAATGGAAATTGGGTCGAGCTACAATTCGTGTTTCCTGGCACTGATGGCCTTAAAAAGGGTGGCTGATATCAAAATTTTTACAGGAATTGTAAGAACATCCTTTTCGAAAATGTGTCCATTTCCTGAAGCAAGTAGGTATTACTGGTTGAAAGGCAAGCTTTCAACGGCCGCGCCGGCGGAATGTTCACGCATGAAGACGTATTTTTATAAATAGCGCCTAAATTGTATAAGTAGCAATTATTTTAATGGTTAATTTTGCTATGCTCCAATTTAAGGCGTTTTTCTCTCAAGCACCGATTTTTAACTCCTCTATTAAGTCCCGTATAGTGGCGAACTAGGCGGTGAATCCGGGTTTGCGCGCTTTCCGGTAACCGATTTCAATAAAACGTGGCAAATAGATGTAATTCCAAGTACATTTGAGATCGGTTTTTGAGTACTTTGTTATTTACCTATTATTTTTGAATTCCCTTTGAGGCATTTGTTTTACATAATCAGGTATTAAAATAAACAATGTTATTTACAACTCTTATAACTATTTCTCATGAAACATGTAGTTTTACTAGAAGCGCCAGTCAAGCGATTTGGAAACCTGAATAAATATGTGTAGTTACTATTTTTGTTCGAACATGGTTAGATTTCACTTGACAAACATACAGACCTCAAGAATGTACATGGTAGGTAGGGTGAGTAACCTGAGCTGCTTGTATAAAGGTCTACATGATTCGAAGGGTTCGACTTGGCAAATCATTCTCACATATTTCTTCTATAGTACAAAGGCTCAAGTCAATGCAATTCCCTACAATAAAACCCCATAACTCAAAGCAGAAGACACGTAGCCGTGATAAGCCGTTAGCGCGGTCTTTTTATCACATTGTTTACTCAAGCGATACAATACATAAACAAATCTACTGATCTTATTACAAGTCGCCTCTGTTTGAGGTTTCAATGAAAGATGTGAGTCTACTAATATTCCCAGAAACTTTGTAGTGGACACTTCCTTAATGGTAACATTTTTATGAGCTATATGTAGCCTTAATGGTCTTCCGTGTATGTTGTGGAACTGAAAGACGTTCACTTGAAGGTTGTTTGATTCTAACCATCCTATGATCTTGGTAATGGTCGTGTTTATTATTGTTATAGATTTTTTTTTAATAGTTTTTTTTTATAGAGATTCAAATACAGAGAAGTTTCCGGACGGAAGTCGTTGTACACAAACCACAATACATTCCCTTAACTCTACACATGACAATTCGGTTATTCGCTCTACCGAAAGGGCAACTAATTCGGTACTTTCACTTGGGGGAGTACAAATAGTAGTACAAAATTTTCTGGTTATATACTCGATGTACAAAATTTATGACATATAATACTGAGCATATTGGCATTTTTACTGAGGATAGTGTAGACACATCTAATGTTGGGGCAACAGTTTAGAAACATCAATAGAACTGCGCTTGTGTCTATTGTTGTGTATACTGACTATGGAATGGTGGGAAACTCCATAGTATTCATTGCCTTTACAAGTTATATGTAAAATTTTTTGAAAAAGTTATTAATGGCAATATAGGAACCATAACACCAAAATTTCTAATGAAAATTATTAAAGTCATCATTGCTGGAATTTTATACGACTTCCAGTTGCACAGTTTGATCAGTTATTTGAATTTTCTCGTGGCTTTTTTCCGCTGTCAGCACTATGATTCTGTATGAAAAAACACTATTCAAAACAAAATGCACAAAAAAACATACAGAACATATTCAACCCGTGAGCGTTTGAAGCAGCTTGTCTCACGACCACAAAAAAGGTCACTGATTATAATGTTTACTTTCATTCAAGAAATACCTACGTAAGTTTTTAAATAAATCTCATATCACTAATTAAATTTTATATGTTCAGTATGATTACAGTTCGTACTCTCAATGTACTCGTATTATAGCCACATGTGACAATACGTGAAAAGTGCTTTTATCACAAGAAAGTCATAAAAATAATACGAACTACATGAAACTAATAAATTAATTATGCATGTGAAATTTTATAACCATGTGCATAAAAGTTATCGACTAATTTCTTTCTTCTTCTTCTTTTAAATGTTATGGCCCCATCGAAATAATCAATGATTTTGCCAATGTCAAGTAAAAATAACTATGTACGGCATTGACTTACAAATAAAGTACGGTTATAGTATTATTATAAAAATTATACAAAAACAATGACATAAATAAATAAATAAATTTCTTTCGTAGAATTTTTAAACTTTCCTTCTGAAAAGTTGTCATTTTGCAGTGGTGATCTTGTTATACAGAGTGTGAGCTATTTCTTTGTTCGATTGGTCCTCCTTGCCTCTCCATTCATACTCATAGCGACGCCATCTGACGAAGTTGTAAAGAACCACAGCACCCTTGTTTTGGAACCGTCATCCATCCAACCCAATATGGCGTCTGCAATTGTTCTACCGGTATGACTTCGCTCTTATCTTTAAGTGCTAAATGGTGATTATAATGTGCCTAATAAATAACTTGGCAACGACTTAATTCTACGTGTTCATTTCTTTTTCAAAGCCACGGAACTAAAGAACCGTGTATTATTTAAACACCCAACAGCTGACTCGTAGCGTTAGCGATTTTATTTTTTATAGCAACCGGTTTAATTTAAGAGGCTCGGATATCTTGGCCATTGTTTCGTTATGCGGCTCCGCCTCGAATTTCCCATGAATGAATCGCGTCATTTCTTTACGAGCGAGGTCGTTCACGTTTTTTTACCTGGCGTGATGTAATAATGCTTTGCGGTTAAGATACAAGTCACATTCTCACCTCAATACTTCTACACGCCGTTAAAAGTTTACCTGCGTTTTGTAAAAGTCAGTTATTTATAACTCGATTGATTTATCTAATTTGGTGTGAAAGAGTGGATACAATGCATTAGCGGGAGTTTCGAACTATGGAGAAACTCGGGCATGCGTATTAGCAAATGATCTCGAAACAGTGAACTTCGTGAAGTCTCGAGTTCTCATTTACGCACACAACGTCGTCGTTTATATACGCGCGCGCACGATTTCGGTTCACCCGTTTGTGATGTAAACTATTTTTATAATTAACCTCACTTCTTTCACTCGGAAGGTGATTCATTTTTGCAGTTGATCATTTTGTCGAATTAAGCTATTTTGTGCAAGTTTTTTTGGAAAACAATAACCATTTGAAGCGTTTTGTAACTTCATTAATTTGTGAAATCGATAAGGAACATGAAAACATCGGAGAGGTCATGAAGTGACAGTAAACATAAAATGAGTAATTGTTTTGTCGCCTGCGACTGCAGTGAGGTCTCACAGGCCGACTTCGACCGCTATACGGACAAAGTGGAAAATGTCCTTAACGACGAAAGAGGGAGAAGTTTGTTTATGAATTACATGTATACTTGTAAAATGAGGGCTGGTCGAAGAGTACTCGATTTTTGGGAGCGTGTTGACAGGCTACTAACTCATAAAAGTAGTCCAGGAGGTGGCTCACCTCGTAATTACAATAGAGAGGTAAAGAAACTACTGGCCGCAGCAGAAAGGATAGACGAATTCGACTTAGCTACTATGGAAAGATTGGACACTTTAGCTCAGGAACCAGGAAGCAGCAAAGATCAAATTGATGAAGTTCTTAAAATATTGAAAGTGGAATCTGCTCATATTCTTAGGCGAGAGTACGATGCATTTAGAAAACATTTTGTACCACGTCGTAATTAGAAAAATCTACCAATTACGCTTCAGAAGACTTGTGCCTTGGATTTGGATGCATTTTTAAATTTCGCGCCTTAAAATAAGAATTCAATAAGTTGAGGGATTTTTGTGCTTGTGTAAATGAAAAAACAAGAATTTGTTTTTTTACCATAAAAAACAATAAAGAATAGACTGCACCAAAGCGTAAAACATTTATATTTAGTTTTATCTTGTATTTATCTTTACATACAGTATGTTTGTACAAGTTGTAAACCTAAGTGTCGCCAGAGATTACCTCATGTGACGAGATATTAAAACTTTGAACTGATATTAAAACAAAGTATGAACATTGTGGGCTGAAAACTCCTTAAATTGTCTGAATTATTGCTTGGCCAGACTAAGTTGTACACCCTCTAAGGAGCATTTAAATGTTAAGAGTACAGCTACTACTTCAATACCAGCTTCATATTTATTAATAATTATATCTATAAGAATAAATATTTATTAAGAATTATATATATGAGAAAATAAAAATTCAAACATTCTGTGACAATCTGAATCTGATGTCGTTTTTAATCTTTGTTTGATGTAAACTGAGTTTATTTTTGTTGTCATTAGTTGTTATGTTAAATAGGTAATTAACTGCCTGTGTGAGTGATGAATAAACTGTGATTAGCTTAATTTGAATTATTATTTTGGTAGTAAACTACATACTTACTTTGAAATTCATAATCTGATTTTTTGTTAGAAATGTTTAATAAAATAATTGCACAAGATTATAATAATTTACAGTTCAATGTAGATTATTAATTAAAATTTGATACATACTATTTCAATGAGACCAGTAATTCATCTGCAATTTTATTATAAGAAGTCTTGTTGTAGACTAATAAGATTTAAATGTTCAATTCATTCATTATCTTATGTATTGAATGTACCTAAAATTAATTTAAAAATATTTTTTATATCAATTCAGTAGAAATTAATTACAATACACATTATATGTCTTATTTAAAATTCCATTATACATTTGCATATTGAGTCCATTTCTCGGAAGTATAAAATATTTATCACTTAACACTAATATATTATATCACTTCAATTTCCAACATTTTAGCTATGCAATGTGACATAACTAAAATGTAATTTATTTCTAGGTTTTCTTCCACGAGTAGTACATTTCCAGTGGTTTGTTTACCTGTAAAAATTTTTATATTTGAGACCAATGAACAAAAGAATTAAACAATCTCCTAAATTCACTATTGTATGGAGGAAACATAACAAACATAATTCTTGTCAGTTTTGTATGGTTGGACAATCGCAGTTCAACACAAATACATTTCTGTACATTTTAGGCTGGTGGAAGTGTAGTAAGAAATAAAATTTGTGCGCTTGGTATGAAAGTGCTTTTGACGCTAGCAAACAACACCGCTCAAGTCGAAAAATGGCGGTTTTTGCTTTTGAATGTTAAGTAACATCCAGTCCAAGTGAAACGTGAATACCAATAAAAATTCAATTTTACATTATGTGTCCATAAATACAGCACTTATTATCAAGAATAGATTAGAAAATCTTGTATGCAATAATATTAGTGCAGTTTTTGTACTGTCCTTTAAAATGACTTCAAATTACTTGAGCAGTGTTGTTTGCTAAGCAACAATAAAAACTAAATAGTCATAAAGACATAAAATACAAATTACGTCTATGATTTTAGAACTTTCTTATTTAAGCATAAGAAAGCTATCAACTAATTTCATTCATAGAATCTTTACATCGGAAGAGTTGTTATTTCTAACTTTAAGAATAAAAGAAAAGCTACTTGCAAACAGTATACCTTCCAGAATCTATCATTGATTTGTCTGAGTGTCTGTGAGCCAGCCAGAGGCACAAATTGTCCTGGTGAGGGTGCCACGTAGATACAGAAGTTGAGCAGGCGATATGCTTCTGGCAACTCTGCATCAAGGTCAAGAGTGAGCCGCATTGCCAAGTATTTGCTAAGATGGTCCACTGGAACACACATTGTTTGAATCAAATTTCAAGTGCTATTAAAATCCCAATTCACAAAAAAATTTTCAAAAGACAGTAAATTATTCAGTTTTGAAATTTTTAATTTGGAAACATGGCGTTACACACACTAGATGGAAAAAGAGAAGATTGTAGGAAAAACAGGTATCTGGAGAGCGGAGCTATTGTCTTACTTACAAACTTGTGATTCTTGAATATACTGAAGAAATATATAAAGGTACACACTCAATCTAACACACATGGTACATTAATTAACACTATCAGCACTATAGAATAAACTATTTTTCTGAGGCAGCAGTGTGCAGCAGTGGTGGGCGGTACACAAATTTTTTTTCACAGCACACCACACCTGCACTTTACTAACTTTTGTAGCAGGCTGCCAGTGGGTCACCTTCAAACATTACCAGCAGGAAAATACATGGTGGCCTGCAGCACTTTGATTTTTGTGGACGGCCGGCCGCCCACATAGCCTGCTGGGTAAAATTCGAAAATCCATGGTGGTGGTCTGGCATGGTCTGCTGCACTTGGGTTATTGTGGGCTGCCAGCGGCCCATGTGGCTTGCTGGTTAAAATTAGAAGGTACATAGTGGCCTGCTGCAGTAGTGTTTTTGTTTGTTTTTTGATTTAGTTGCCCACAAGGCACTAAGGGTCGTATTCCAGAACTCTACTCAATGCTCAAGTCAGGATTTCAGCAGACTTGAGTATAATTTCGAGCACTGGAAACACGACTTGAGTATGATTTTCAGTGCTCACTGCAATACTCAAGTCCTGACGACTCTGAGAGTGTTAGTGTCCAGTTTTGTTAAAATCCCTACCAGAAGCATTAGCAGTAGTTTTCAAGTATCTGACAGAGCTGTCCCTCAGAGCTCTCATAAGCTGGTTGTCCCCAGTCATCTCAGTTGGATGTGGCTTGAACACCAGCTCTATTTCGTTAGGGTTCAGTGGTTCTCCCTCGCCTTCTGTATCCATTGAGTTCTCACCCTCAGTCCTGAAAATTGTAAAACGAATGTTTTATACAAATGCTCTTTACAAGTTTAAGTTATTATTTTTCAAGTTTATATTATTATGTATTAAAATTAATGTTCTTAACAAATGCAAGGTTGAAAAAAGTCATCATTGTGCCAGACAACAACACCAATTGCCTGGTCTCAAATTTAGAGAATTAACTGTACTGCGAGTACCAGAGCAGCAGATTCACTCTAAGGCACTTCCCAACAATAGCAATCAAAATACTATTTTAAATTACATTCAGATATTTTTAAAGTATTTCTACAAAATGACATTGAAACCAGCATTAAAAAAAGAAATATACAGTTATTTTATTATTTACCATTTACGTGTAATAAGTATGCCAAAATACACACTAGTCTAAAAAAAACGAACTTACCGTCCATCACTAGATTCACTCTCTTCACTTCTCTCTGAAGTCAATATAGACTTAGCTCTCTTTGTGGTGCTTGTGTTTTTCGATATTGAGCTCAAATTAGAGGGCACGGGTGATGGCGTGCTCCTCACAGATGCAGGGTTTGATGTGGACTGACCAGGAGGAGTCGGGTTACTTGATACCCCCTCTCTAACTGCTGATGAGCTGCTGCCCTGTTCAGCACTACCAGAATTAGAGGGGGTACCCTCATCAAGGGTTTTTCTAGACCTTTGAGGCCTATTCTGTGATTGTAACTTAATACCTTCTGTTATCGAGTTTACCAAGGAAGCTTGAGAATGTGACATGTTTAATTTAGCCAATACGCGCTCCTGATGAGCTTCATACTCGTCCCTGCTGGGGTATATCTTCGATATAAGCAAATCGAAATTTGGGTCTGGACGTAGTGACCTTTTTGATACAAGCTTCTTACGACAAGTAGGACACTCCTTGTTACCAGACCGTAAAGCGGTTATGATACAATCCGAGCAGAACCTGTGAAGGCATTCCTTTGTCGTCATTGTCTTCTTCAGCATGTCCAAACATATTGGGCACATTAACTCGCTATGTAAGCTTCGTGGGGACACCGCTATTTCTGTGGCGTCAGTAATTACTTCTTGTGGAGTCCTGTGGAGCTCGTAAAGAGATAACTCCCATGTTTTATTTTGCGAAGGTTCTGCTGACGACATTTTCAAATTTGACGCTTTACTTTCAACTAAAATAAACAAGTTGTAATAAAAACGCCGCAATTGCGACCATTTTGGAAACGTTTTGCTAGAGCTTAATAAAAACCGGTAACTGAGAGTAAAATTCACAAGCAAATTCATACACTCAGGACACTCACTCAAATGAATAAGTTAAATAGTCTGCTTGGCGAATGAATGCTGTAAACGTAGTGCTTAAATTCTCTTTGGAATGCTGGTGGAATCACTACAGATAGGAATCACTTTCCTTCAACATTCAATTCAGCCAACATAACAAATTAAATTACGACTTCAGTGTTGCCATTTATAAAAACCGAAATATCGGGAAAGGCACTAATTTCAGATTTAAATCTCTTTTGATACTTAATCGATTTTGCACAATGCTTAGTATCTACAATATATATGCAAAATCGATATTATAATAAGTATCTATTTATTGTAATATGCACGTGATAATGATTGTGTAATATTTATTATTATTTTAAATAAATAAATTTGTCATAGGACACTCGTACGCTTAATTTGATTCTTAACGCTGATGAATAGATACACAATGTAGAGATGAATAGTACGTAGGTAAAAAAGGTAAATACGCGATGCGATTGTACTACTATTCGAAAAAGGCCAACAGATGGCAGCTAATACATTCTTGTCAAGGTTATTGCTCTTGCTCAGGCGGTGATTATACCTTTTATTTTTTTTTCCATCGTCTAAGGATTATACATACAATAACATAATTATAAAATCGCAAAGAAGCTGAACTCAGTTACTTTTTTAAATAAAAAGTCAGAGATAAAAAGTTACTTAGGGTCGTATTCTAGAACTCTACTCAATGCTCGAGTCAGGATTGCACTGGAAACACAAGCACTGGAAATACGACCCTAATGGCAGTTACTTGAGTATGATTTCGAGTGCTTTAAACCATACTCAAAACCTGACTTGAGCATTGAGTAGAGTTCTAGAATACGACCCTTAGTTTCTTGAATAAATTCATCAAGTGACATCTATCCAGTTAATTGCTTACTAACAAATCAAAAATAATACCAATCGGGCATTGAGAAACCTTCCATTTGTTATCTGAACAGTTAGCTATATGTTTTCACCAATTTTCATAATTGTAAATTAATTTAAATTTAAATATTCCTAAAATTTGTTTCAATAGTTTTGCATTTTTTTTAAATATTTTATACTTCTTATTTATATGACACGTCAATTTCTAGATTCAATACTTTTTACT